TCCGTGGCCGGTTCTCCTGCCCTGCTGGTCTGCCCCAGCCTATGAGTTCCTGTATGTGGCTGCCGCGTGTGGCTGCATAGGGTCCAGCACAAGGAACTGTGGAAGGGACCGAGCAGGCTGCGCTCTCAGTAAGCAGGAGATAGCGACTCTGCCGGTGCTCACAGCTGCCTTCTCTCATTTGGTGCAGGTCCGTGTTTGCTTAGCACAGGTGCTGCAACAGGTTCTGTGAAGGTCCCCATTTGTAAGACTGTGAGTATTAGCACGTGACTTCTTGGCACAACAATTTTTTGGCCCATAATGTGTTCCTGCAGGACTCTCAGAAAGGAAGTGTTTTGTGAACTGGCTGAAAATCTTCCATGAAATGCACATGTAGACTGAGGAGGCCTGCACTTAAAGAGAGTTGTCTGAGTGTGTGATGCCCACCAAAGACCACAGGACTTGCTTAGATGAAAATCAGTATGGTTCTGCAGCAAATGTACCTCTAGAATGCTAGGCTGGCATTTTGTGAGTTGTCTGTTCGCTTCTGTCGTTCCCGAGAGTTAACTGAGCTTTAAGCTATCCATATTTCAAATAAACACATCCTAGGTGGGCATTAGCAGAGTTCTGGAAATGAAATCTGGCCAAAATATAATTCAAATCTCCGCATCTTGGTTTAGCAATGGCTTAAAAGAGCAGCAGAATGCTCTCAGCATGGTAGTGTTGTGTCATCTGGGCTAAGGCATAGAATCATAGAATCATAGAATGTTTTGGGTTGGAAGGGACCACTAGTGGTCATCTAGTCCAACCCCCCTGCAGTGAGCAGGGACACTGCTAACTAGATCAGGTTGCTCAGAGCCCCATCCAACCTGGCATGACTCTGGCATACTTGGGAGATGCTTATGGGGATTCAGGTTTTACATTTTAGATGACTAAGTATATGACTTGTGTTATGTAGTGACTTTTCACAAGGGATACCTGCCCTGGGAACACTTTTCTCTTAAATACTCCCCATTCTGTTTGCGCCCCACTTCTAAGCCTGTTACTAGAAAGCTGCTGCTGAACTTCACTGGATTCTGTGTGAAGCCTTAATTGGAGTGGTACGTATGAGCCAGGACTGACATCTGAGGAGAGATGGATGAGCACCAGTCAAGGAGGAGGAGGGGTTTGGGGGATGTGGGAAGCAGCACATTTCCCTTTTGCACAGGATATATTGGGGACAGTGCTTCACCTTTAACAGAAAGTGATTTTTTTTTTTTTTTTTTTTTTTTTAGGTTAAACTGGTCTTTAGGCTAAACTGAGTCTGACTCTCTTGAAATTCACAGCAATGGTGTTATTCTTCCATTTGTTACTTGTCTCTCTAAGTCTGGACTGTGTGTGTGTGTGTACATACATGCACCTTTCGTGTGTATACACCCTCCCCACCCCATACTCTGTCCTAATTCCAGGCCCATCAGGTTCGTGCCAGGTGCTTGTCCCCGCCTGTGCGCACAGTCGTGTCAGGGTGACTGGCAGTCCAGGCACTTCGGTGTGTAATGAGGTCGGTTGTTGCCCCAGGCAGACAGGCTGCCCGCCTGCTTGCTCTCGAAGGAAGGGCCTGTGTTGATATAAAGTGTGACAAGGATGGTGGTGAGTTTAAAGGTGCTGATGTCAACTTCTCTCTCTGTTGAACATATGCAAAGTTTCATTTACACGTTGCAGCTGGATGTTGCTCGAATGAAGGGCTTCCCTTCCCCACCTTCTGCAGGGGTGTGGGTTCAGATCCCCACAGGGGCTCTGGTCCCCTGTGACTTGGCCGCAGATCTCAAGTGCATTCTGCTGCAGCTGATGCTAGGTTTCTGGAGCCTTGTCTTCAAACAAACTGCCTTTGCTGAGCTGGCTTCACAATAAGCTATAAATAACACTTCTGCTTCCTGCTTTCTGATGCCTCAAAAATAAACGTTTCCTCCTGGTGTTGTGAGTTCCCTTTTTGGGTTGAAATTCTTGGTGCAGCAAAAGATTCCACACAAACGGTATGTGAATATACCTGTCATCCTTCATTTTAAACAAGCAGCCAATCCGTTCTGGGTGAGAAAACCATGGTATGTGGATACCTTTAATGATCAGGAGTGCAAAAGCTGTTACACCTACTGTGGTGTTTGGGACAACTGAATTACAATGAAATATGTCCTCAGTCTTCCCCACTTGCTTTCTTTGGTCATACGAGGTTATCCAGGTCATACAAGGTTATAAAAGTGCTATGACTTTCCCCTTCCTCCTACACCTGAGGATAGTGCAGGAGGAGGGGGAACATCACAGCACTTTCATGTCACTAACTTTGGCTGTTGGCTGTGATTCAGAGGGTCAGAGTTCCTTGCCACCTCAGTAGTGTGAGATAAGTGTCTTTGTGGCTGGAGTTTAAAGTCCTGAAGTCGCATGCTTCAAGTAGCCTAGAACAGCCAGAGTGGAAGACGCCTGCATCCGTCTGTACTGGTCTGGTCTCACGAGGGAGTTTTCCAGGACTGGTGCTTCAGGAGGTTGAGGCTGACCACTGCTTGTGAGCTCCAGACTTGATCAGAAAAATACTTCCCCCTCTACACTTCAGTCTGTGTCGTGGTTGGCACATGTCAGCCTGCCGTGGCTCAGCAGGGCTGTCAGAGTCGTGGCGGGCAGTGGGGACCTTGCACGATTTCTTCCAAGAATCATAAAATGCAGTGCAGTCACCAAATTACTTCTATTTGGTGGATGAGACATGGGAATCCGTATGGTCTTTCTGCTGTGCCTCAACATAGTCCATCTTTAATGTGTTTGTAGCTTGGAAGTAACAGGAGAAGTGGGCTGAGAATTCTTCTCAGGGGAGACAGGCAGACGGATCGGTAGCCTCTACATCCAGGCCTATTAATTTGTTTAGTTCCCACTGTAGTGAACGTGGGTATAGCGCAACGTGAAGTCTGTATTCATTCAGAGTTACTGGAACGGTTACTGAACTTTTCTTTATATGCTGTCAAGAAATGGGGATCAGGGTATTATAATTTAAATTATTTTAATGGAGAAGAAAAGTTTCCCATTTGTGTTGTGTTCAAGAACTTCATTCTTAACAGGCAGGGAGCCAGATCTGGAGTGTATTCTCCAGCTGCGCTACTCAGAGTCCAGCGACATAGTTTGTAACATAATCTTCCAGTGACCTATTATCCTTTGGATGCTGAACACAGCACAGTGTAATGGTCCCATAGGTCATTAGTCTATTTTTAGGGAGTCCTTAATCTGCAGAGCTCTGAATTTTGGAAGCCTTTAATCCATTGATCCCTGCAAGCGCTCTAATTTTTCATGCTAAGGAAAAAAAAAAATCCATATGCAAAGCAGTGGCTGCTTTACTGCTGATTTGCCATCTGAAGTAACTTGACTCTTAAAACCCACACTTGACAGATAATCTCTGTTATAGAAAGCACTATGGTGGAGCGGGTGGCAAGGATAGGCCTTGCAGACCTCTATTCTAGAAAAGGTAATGACTTCTGAAATGGAGCAGTTTCAGTAAAGTGACGTTGACTTCAAACATCAGCATGGAGGAGGAGAACGTGCCTTTACACTAGGAACCAGCCAGTCGCTGTTTCCAGAGTTCTCCTTCAAGGCAAACTGTGGGCAGAGAGGCAATGCTGTTTACTGGTTACAGTAAGAAACTGCACTGGGGATTCCTGGGTTCAGTTTCTTAACTTGCTGTGTAACCCCAGCCTCACTGTGCAGTCTGGGCCTTACAGTCTTCCCTGGAATGGGAATGTTTCTGTTTTCACCTCTCTTGTTGTAGCTCCGTTGCTATCAGAGGGTAGTGGTCCCACTGGTAGGAGGTGCAGACAGTGGATTGTTGCTTAAAATCTTGTGTAAGTACTGGATGCTGAGGCCAGGTATAGATTGCGAGAAGCCCCTGTTTTACTGTCCTGTACCCTCTCTCCCCGTTGCTCCTGTGCCCTAAATTCATCTTGACAATAGTGATGAGGATCTATTGTCCACTGCTTTAAATGACTGAGAATTTTCTTTGTCTTCCCTCCCCCTTCCCAGATGCAGACTGGAACAGATCTATATGTGAGCCGGGGAAGGTCCTGTTTGGTGGCCGTTTGAGATCGTGGGAAGATCACCATTTACAGCTTCTGGAAGGATTTCATACTGTACGGTCTTGTCAGACTGCTTGCTGCCAGAGCCCCACCTGTGATGCCTTTTGGTTCTTGGAAAATATGTGCATCCAGGTAAACTGCACTATGCCTGGCGTGTGTCAGGCAAACAGGACTGGCTTTTCTGACTCTGTTTTGGTGTTTTTAAAGAAATCAGAAAGCACAGAGCACTTCATAAAGTTTCAAAAAGAAGGTGATGTGAAGACCCGGGCTCACAAATGGTGGGACTGGGACATCCCTGTCCAGGGGAAGAAAAGACTGCGGAGGTCATTCCAGAAGTGGAGCTTGGCAGGTAACAGGGTGGAACTCCTGAAAAGGGATATAGCAGTGAGCCCCAGCAGTGAGGCTGCAGCCAGAGCATCAGGTAGCGAATCTAGAAGCAGCCAAAGTGAAGCAGAGCGCTTGAAGGATCAAGTACTGCGGCGCTTAGTGGCAGGCAAGCCTGTTCCTGAAGGCCATCCAAATAAAAAGAAGGACTCGCTGACAAATGGACAGAATGCAAGAGAGCAGAAAACCAAAAGCCCGTTCCCTCCTAAAAGCAATAATGTGAATAGATCGAGTGATGCAGACGGTGTTGGCGTGCCACAGGTAAGTGTGATTGCTGGGGCTGAAACGGGGCTTTCTTGGACAGCTGTCGCCCTCCCGCTCAATCTTGCTTTCTGTAGACCTTTGTCTACAAGCTCTTAAAACTGCTTAAATGATAGGGTACCTTTCTGGAAGCCTGTTTTCAGCCTCCTGTCAACAAGGCAAGGCCAAGGGTTGGGGTTTTCATTTGTTTTTTGGGGGGTAGGGGTTCCCCCCCCCCCCTTTCTTAACTGGGTGAAGGTGAGGGGAGACGGAGGTCATGATAATGCTTATGCTTTGTATAACCAACCCCACAGTGAGCTTGCCAGATGAGAAGGAAAGGGGAGACGTGATGTCAGTGCAAGTGCCTGGGAGTTGAAAACTTTTACCTGTAAAAGTACTTTTTTAGATCCACAAAATAAAAATAAGCTGTTTCCCTCTGAGTGAGGAATGAGGCAGTTAAATATGTTATTTTATAGACTCGTGCATAGAGTTTCCAGTGTACTTTCGTGTCAGCCAGCTTGCTTGAGTTGGCATCTTAATGCCAACTTTTTTGTTCTGTTTTTAAGACTGCTTCAGTTTTGCAAATCCACAAAAGCTTACATTGGCATTGACTGAATGAAACCAGTTTCGTCTCTACCCCAATGTACCACGTTAATCTTGTAAATCTAGGTGTCAGTCTTAAAGAGAAATTGGCACATTTCAATTGTTAAATGATGTTTGTATTTTTAATTCTGCAAATAGTTTTATGAGCCTTATCATACAAAAAAGCCCGTGCGCTTGTGGTGGTGAAATACAAAGAATTCTACTTTGTGCAACTATTCTTTAACTACCTTTTGCCGTGTTGGTAGGATTTGGCACTGTTGAAGCCCCATGCCTTTTCCTGTAGTTACGTTCTTGTTCTGGAAAGTTGACCGAATTTCTTTCTTTCGCTTGTATTCAAATCCTGGTTCCAGGTAGGGCTGTGACTGGCCTGAGCCACCACCCTGCAGAGCAGGATGTGGCGAGCAGCCAAGGGACACCGCTGAGAGCTCCAGGGCAGCCCGGCTGGCGTGTGAAGTCACACACTAAAACTTTACAAATGTTTGATTTTCCAGAACCCCACAGCATTTAGGCCTGACTCAAGATCTCGGCTTTCTCTCTCCCCTGCAGTATTGCAGCATTTCCACTGTTCTTTCTTCCTCCTAATAGCTGGGATTTACACAATGACCCCATTCTCTCAGTTGTTACGCATGGAGAGTTCTTCGCAGCCAGTCTTAAATGTCTTCCGTGCTCTCTTGGGTGATAGTTGTTATATCTCCCCACTTGTTTGGTTTGAAGCGTTGCATTCTGCATTGTATTATTACTGTTCAGTGCCTGTCCAGTAAACTGGTTGCAAATCCTAATTGCATGGGTTAATCAGCTTCTGAATATTGCTGAGTATCCAGGATTTCCCATCTTTAGGAAGCACTTTCCATTGTCATTAAGCTGCATTGATGGATGTATGCTGGGGAGAGGCTTTTCTTCTCCTTACTGGTTTTTGCTAGTAAGAAAGTCCGTATCTCTTGACAAAATGTGGGTCCATCGAAATAAAAACTTCTTTCTAAAATACATCAGCTGTGATAGAATTCCTGGCAGTCACATTTTTGAGACTCAGGATGGAGTTTCTGAGGAAGAGAGAGAATTAAAAAAATCCACCTTAACAAGAATATTGAGCGGAAGCTGGTCCTGCCCAGCCCTGGGCTAATTCCTTGGTTGTTGAACCATCCAACTTTCACTGGCAAGCTATGCAGCTGTCCTTGCATTGCTGATCTGAGCGTGGTTTAATTTAGGCCAAGGATGTAACATTCAAGGCTGTGTACTTGGGACATAGCCAGCCTTTGCAAGAGGGAGATGCTAAAGCAGGGAGTTTTCCAAGTTGGGTTGGTTATGGGCCAGAATAAGTCAAGTTACACACACGCTGAAATGAGTAGAATTTCACCTGGGCCGCATATGGCCCAGTGCATGGAGCCCATGGCTTCAGCAGGTGAGTGCTGTGCATTTAGTACTGTATTGTTAAAGAAGGTTTGGCAGGGGGCTGGAAGGTGGGGAGAATGCTGGATCATTACTGCCTGCAAAGCAGTTCATACCTGGGAGCATGAAACATCTGAAGTGGGAAAGGACATTTGAGGTCAAAGTGGCTCTTAACTTCTCTCTGAAAGAGGGGAAGGAAAGTAAGGTGCATATTCTCCCTTTTTTTCAACAAGCGTTGAATGTGGCGAGGCAAATCTTTTCCTTTGCTCGTAGAGACTCGGGGAGAAGTCAAGTGACTGTGTTAGGAAAACATTGCCTCACTGAGTTTTAATTTTCCTCTTGCAGTTCTGATAGCTCCATAGCCATCTGCAATGTCCTTCGCTAATGTGCAGCTAGCATTAGTTTGTGGTTTTACTGTATCCATGCTATAGAGCCAGAGATGGGTGAAGGAAAGTGTACCAGGATAAACCACAGTGCACCCTGCTCATCAGCCCTTAACTAAGGGAGAGAAATTTGTGCTTTTCCATGAAAGTGAGTGACATTTTCCAGGCACCAGGGTTTCTTCTGCCTTGTTGTAGAAATACTTGTCAATTTTAAAATACAGCAATGTGTTTAATAGCCAGCCAGGAGAAGTATTTAAGCGCAGCACTGCTGATCAGAAGGGCTGTTGCAGCACTGCAGCAGCTCTGCAGGCAGACTGTGGAAGAAGCTGCAGCCTTTAAAGTGGAGCTTGTGTCTTCAGGGTCTTCACCAGACCTAGTGCAAATGACTAAGGGTACAGTCTAAGCTCAGAAGAGGCTATTTTGCAAATTCCGATCAGGCTCAGCAAAGTAAGGTCCTTTTAATTTAAAAATAAAAGAAAATTCCAGAACACAGGTCTTTTTCTTTCAATTAACTTGGGTTTAGTGCGGATTCTGATGCATGTAGCTGCTCTAGTTCTGTCCTACAGGCGTAGGACTCTCAGACAGGGAGAGTGGGTGACTCGTCCCAGGCCAAAGGCAGTTAAAGATCGGAATCAAAAGTGTCTGATGCTCCTACGTTCACTTAGGCCAATATGCCACTTCTGTCTATTTTCGAAGCTAATAAGATAGGACAGCTGGCAAACTTCTAGTCTCCTCCTCGTTTATCCCCAAGAATGAAATCTTCTGTTCTTTGCTTTAAAGAATGCTGGGTTATGGAGTAAAGATAAGAAATGTCTCAGCTTGCAAGCATTAGAGGCATTTTTGACTGTTATGTTGCCCCAGGCAAAGCTTATCTAATTCAAGCTCTCTGCAGACATTTGGCTGTCAATTCATCCTGAAGACTTCTGGGAAGAAGAGGATCTCTCTTAGCTGTAAAGTTGGTTTGGGTTTTTTTTTCTTTTAGGCATTAAAAAAGGAGTCAAGGAAGCATCCAGCTCACTGAAAATATTGCCAAGCGAAGTGGAGACTGGGCTGCTGTGCCTGGCGGGTGGATGCTGGTTTCCTGCGTGCTGTTTGCCACAGCCGTTCTTGTGACTTGTCTGGGTTGATTCTTGCTAAGGCAAAAGTGGTTCCCCATAGTGGTAAGAAGTCACGGAGGCTTTCTGCTTCCGTGCCTTTCCTAAAGAGTCTGTCTGAAGTGTCTGAGTTTCTGCCCGGCTGTTCCCCTCTTGTCGTGCCAGTATTTCTAACTTTATCTTATTCGATTACTTGGCAAAAGGGAGTCAGTATGCTGAGCTGACCAGAGTTTTAGGGATGGGTGTGAGGTGGTATCGCTCGGGACAGCCAACTGTCGTGACGCTGCTGCTGAAGAGCAGCACAGAGCAGCATGCCAGTTCTTGCCTGCATCTTTGTTCCAGAGAATCCATAGTTTTGTTAAAGGTAAAAGAAGCCCATCAACAAGTAAGCAAATAGAGAAAAGCAGCTTATGTCTGTAACACAAACAAATAGTGTTTGATTCTTTGGTCCGTAAAGCTCAGTTAATCAAGCATACAAATGAATTAAGGTGTTTTAAATTCTGAGGGAAAGTTAGCTGAGATATGGAGAGAGGAAATTATTTGCTCAAGACTGCAAAAAAACCTTCTTGCAAGAGGCCTTTGGTGCCTTCACTGCTACTCTTGGCTTGGCTGGCTGCTAGTACGTACAGCATGGCTTTATTTTTATAACTGGCATTTCGTGTTTTCGGAAGCCCAGCCCATTTACTGACCAGATTGTTGCCCACCCTGGTCTAGAGCGTTTTTCCAGTTCCTGTTTCCTGGACTGAATGCCAACAGCATGGTATAAAAGCTTGCGAATATTTCCTCCAATATGAGCTTTTGATCAGCTCCTCTAGTGGAGGTAGGCAATTCAGCTCCAAAACACTTCCCAAGTCAAAGATGGTAAATTGGTCCCTTTTAAACATTTAGCAGGTGTTCTCAAAATAGAGTTAGCTCAACAGAATGCGCTACACACATGTACGTCGTGGTGGAAGGTGAATTGCCAGGAGTATTGCCTGGCAGGCTAAGAACTGGAATGGGGCTAGGTACTGTAAAAGGAATTTTCTGATGAAAGAAAGGAAATTGTTCCTGCCACTCTGATTATTTTCAATAAAGTGGCTCATCCTGTGTGGATGTGTGCAAACTTTCTGCCCGCAAGCTCAGCTCTCTGCCCCAGCAGCATCTCCTGTGGCATGCACACAGGGAACTGTTTGTGTCAGGTCACCTTGCTTTGAAGAGTGATTCTGAAATAAATTTCCTCTTGCTGCAGTGATTCGATTATTACATAAAAATGCCATCGCCATCCTGCTTTGTGCTTGCCAACCACACAGCTTTAGAAAAAGGAATACATGGCCAAAATTAATGGCCCAAATGAACCCAGTTCCTGGACCCTGTCTCTTGCTTATGTCTTACCCCACCTCTCTGTTCTTTTAGCTCTGCTCACGTCAATTTTGAACCTAGATCTTCTGTTATGTTTGCTACATCCACAGCCATGGTACTTAAGATATGGTAGTTAACTCTGTGGTCTTAACCGCTGTTCAACTGAGCAAGAAATGGCCTATCTGCTGTGGAGGAAGAACACGGAGAAACAATTCATAAGAGAGAAGGGGAAGCAGTAAAAGAGCCTGCTTCTGCAAAAAACAAACCAGGGACTTCCCAGCCTCCCTAACTGGAGGAAGAGAAGTGCAACTTAAACGTAGTAAAACAAAACTGGCATTCAGCATTCAAGTCGAACTAAGACAACTTTTTCCTTTACAGATCCACACAGGAACATCTGCACCAGAACCATCAGTGTTGGCTACGTTCTCCAGTCCTGTGGCACAGGGCTTGACAGCCACAGGGAAGACTGAGCAGCCTGGGCAGCCAGATGATGCTTTGGCCCATCCTCACTCCTCAGATCTGTTGCCCACAGACAGCCCCGTGCTGGGGAAAAGCACAACGAAGATGCAGACAGCTACTTCTGTGCCAAGTGGTGTTCCCACAAATAGCAGTGTTTCTACAGTCCAGACCAACACTGCTGCATCACCAAGTACTACTGCCACCACACCAGGTGAGAACACGCAGTGCTCCAGCAAACATCTTCTGTTCAGGTTCTGGTGACAAGCCATTGCAGTATTGAAAAATATGAGATAATTCAGAAATTAGGGTCAAAAGTGCTGATACACGTGCTTCAGCGCATGTGCCGGTTGGACCCCATTAACTCATGAGGTCTGAGAATGGGAGTTTGGCATCATAAATTTGCACGTGACCATTGGATCTGTTTCCAGGAACAGCTTGAAAGTACTGGTTTCCCGAAGTGAAAGTTGAGATGTGACGCAAGGCATACTCCCATGGAGCATTCTTTCCGTAGTCTTGACACACTGCTGTCTGCTAAGTCAAGCAGAAATCTTAACGTCTGCTCGAAGTGGGGTGTAACTGATTCTTTCCTCTTCTGTCCCTGAAATGTCAATGCGCAGTTCAGCCGTGGGGAGCAGCGTACTTGGCCGTTAGCCCATGCTTTGCTTTGCAGCAAAATGATGTTTCTGTTTGCACTGATATTTCTTAAACTATTGAAAATGTATAAAAGCCAAAATGCACTTTTGGTCAGCACTGTTAACTCACCCAGGCCATCAGCTCACCCTGTAAGGATGTGTACATACATTGAATGGCGTATACTGGTCGTGTGATATCCCAGAATCCGGTTAATCCAGTTTGCTGAAGTATTCACAGCTGAATTTCTTTTGAATTTAGGGTTCCTTTCCCTTACAAGGGAACAAGTGGGAAGTGTAAAGGAAACGCTGCATCCAAAGACATTTTTGGCAGGAAGCTCATTGGATTCTTGTGCTGACAAGTTACTGTTCTTTTTAAGGGCTTACCCCAGCTAAAATTGGCAAATGTATTTTGGACATCTTCAGTGGCTTGTGTTGGAAAAATAACGCAGCCAGGGCCTCCTTGTTTTGCTAAATTATACAAAGATGACGTGAAGGGTAGTCTTTCCAAGCAGGGTTGTGTTTGTCTGTTGAGTTTTGGGTGTGTTTTCTTACTGAGATCAGGTTTCTCTTTGCCTTGGAACTCTTTGCAGCTGAAAGACTGATGGAGTTGTAATATCCCAAGGTTTGGAGTAATCGAGAGAGAAGAAAAAAAAAAAATCATTAATTTTTTTTTTTTCTTCTTCTAGTTAACTGGTTAATTCCAGTAGCTAATAAACAGATGGAAGAAAGACTAAATGTCTAACGACGTTTTCTCCATCTTTTTTAACTTGGATTGTTTGTGCATATCTCTGAAATGTTGCCTTTGACAGGGTCAAAACAGGGTAAAGCAACTTTAATTCTTGTTTTCTATGCGTAATTCCCAGGCACGATAATAAAAAGACACAAATAAAACAAACGGGGAGGAAAGAGGAGGACGAAGAGTCAAGAGGTACTCTTAAGAAATGCAGTCAACTTTCTGGTCATCTTAACGCTAATAACAAGCAGAAAAAAAATGTCACTGACCATAGTTTATGAGTCTTTACCCAGAATTCTTTAAAAACAAACTACCTGTCCATTTATTTGAAGTGGAATGGCAAGAAACGTCCTAAGAAAGAGATGAAAAGCAAATATAAATAAAAGGAACAGGTTTGTATTCGGTGTGGTAGCTATGCAGATTTTTAAAACATCTCCTTGGCCCCCAAGCAGTTTTTTCAAAAAAGAAATACCGTGGATTCTTCATATATTTGCGAAAATCTGAAACTGCAGTTTGGTAATTAGCAGTGTTTGTCTCGCTGTGCCTTGAGACTGCAGCTGGGTTCTCTGCTGAAAACCTGTCAGGTAAAACCCTTCCCATCCTGCTGGACCTGGGTGAATAGATTCCCCTGTACAGGCCCGAGGGGCACGTTTCAGCTCTTTAAAAAAGGAGGAGGAGCTGTGCAGTGTCTGCAAAGAGAGAGATGACCGAGTAATTTGGGGCTTGCCTTAAAATTGTAAACCCCTATTAGTGCTTTTGCATTAACAAGGAAAGTGAAACCTGAAACGGGAGCTCTATTGAGTAATAGCATGTTTACAAAATGCAGCCATTTGTAGCTGGTTTTCATTCCACAGACTCGGAAGCCAAGGCAGTTTTTATGTACGTATCTCAATTTTTTCTCCTGTTCCTCTTTCAATTCTGTGTTTCTCCCTCTCAGTTATGAAGGAGCTGGTAGTTTCTGCTGGAGACAGCGTCGAAGTGACCCTGCCAAAGAATGAAGTTCAGCTGAATGCATTTGTGCTTCCTGAGCCACCACCTCGTAAGGCTTCCTGGGGAATTCTGCTAAGGGCTTGTGATGGTGAAATGGCAAATAGGCATTATATATAACATTCAATAAGGACAGTCTTGAAAATGTCTTTTGTCAGAGAACACTTCCCTGTAGAAATTTTTCATCCTCATGCTGCCTCTCACAGAAAATATAGCAAGACACAGAAAGCATTGAAAGTGCCACAATACATTAGATTTGGGAGATGGTATATTCTTAAAGTGGTATGTGAGGAAGCAGTGGATCTTCAGCGTCTGTTTGTGATAATTACTGATAGGTGCCAAGCTGTCTTAGCAAGCCATCTCTCATTTGGTGGATTGAAATCTGATTTGGGGGGTTGACATGGTGAGGAACATATTTCTATACACTCCTCATTTCATCGTGCAAATTGTTCACAGGTATTTGTGAAGTTTTATCTACAGCTCTGTCCCCAATGGCAGTGGGAGACTGCAGAGGAGAGGCAAACACGCTACGTGTTGTGCAGGAACAGGGATAGATGAGATGCATTCCTCTTCAAAAACTGGCATTGTGTTGTGTCCGCAGGATTTGAGGGCACAATTTTTCTCTCTTATTATCCCGGAGCTGTGATTGTTCCAAAGCTCTTTAATGCCTTAGAGGCTGAAAATGAGTTTTGGCTCCAGAGTAAATGTGTTTAGAAGCACGGATTGCCTCTCTTTCCTGGAGTGGGAATTGATTACTCATCCAAAAGACTACAGTGGAGAAATGGAAGGGAAGCACTCCCAGACTCTTAAGTTATCTAAGGTAAAGCTTTTGCTGCTTCGTATCCTGTTGTGATAAATGCCAAGTGGAGAAGACGGGGACCCTGGCAGCCAGGAAAGACTTGTATGTGATTTCAGGAGGAATAGGAAATTGCATGATGGGCAGGCAGCCAAGATTTGACTGCAAGCCCTCTTCTAAGTCTTTTATAAAAAGGAGATTGAGCTGGCATGAGGGAAAGAAGAAATTGGTTTGGGGCTCTAAAAGCTGCCTACAAGCAGTGTGTCAAGCCATACAAATGGCAGAATTTAACATTAACAAGGGGTTGTGAACGTTGCTGCTACTGAAACAGTTTGGTGGTTTGTTTAGGTTTGAAACCTTGTACTACCCGCTGAAAAAGGGACTTGCTGATTCCATTAATGAGAGCGGTGGAGTACCTCGTAGCATGTCCCTGGCTGCTGCTTTTAGACAAGCTTTAACAGTGAAAGGATTGCTGGTTTCTGCACATGGGGATTCTTAACAAGGGAGTGGCTTTAAATATTGTGTGTGAATATACCATGCTGCATTTATGAGACATTCCTTTGAGCATCTTGGGTTCTGCTGCACTTGGAAAAAACCTACCGGCTTTAGTCACGATATCGTGCAGAGAAAAGCCCTTTGAAAGGAGCATGTCTATCTCTGTCAGGGTTTCAGCCTTTTGGATACCACGATTGTAGTCCACCACCTTGTCCTTCACCCTCTCATCGTGGCTCAACAGTGAATGATGAAGGGGTAACTGCCCAACTCGTGTTGCCTAGAAGGAAGAGAAGAAATACTTTTCTTTTGTAAAAACACACAATAAGAGATTTTCTTCTCTGACGTGCAGCCTTTCTCATCTCAAATGCAATCTGCTAGTACAGATTCCTGCGGCCAGACAACCTGAACTAATCTCTGTTATCTCTCTCCTGTTTGCCTATTGTTGCTAGAAAATAAAGCTTGAGTGACAATCCTGTGGCACCTGTGGTAGAAAGAAATATTAGTATTTGGTTTCTGCATAGCCATTATAAACTAAAAGATGTGTGATACCATTCTGGCGTGGAAACCATCCTTTGCTGTGTAGGCATAGGTTGAAGCATAATTGCCTGTGTTTCATACTGCTAATGTGCTTCTGTGCCAAAGCACGGTAACTTGACCTAATAGCTCCTGACAAGGTGCTACCATCCTGGAGGTGAATAATCTTTTGCGTTTTCCTTCCAGCTTACTGTTGGTCTGTATGAATTCAAAGTCGTCGTTGATGGGGAAAACGCACGTGGAGAGGGTTACGTGAACGTAACAGTGAATCCAAGTGAGTTGGTGGAATTGTATCTTCCCTTAACTTCATGTCTCTGGTACCTGTATCATGGCGTTTTGCTTATTTGACTGGACCCTGGTTTAACGTAGTGAGAATTCATTTTACTGTGAACTCAGTATAGATGTATGTGCATTAAGTCATTTCCTGAGATGTGAAAGTATTGCTAATACACATAGCTATTTCTGCTATACTGCCTACAGGCCAACCACTCCATAAAAGAGCTGGAATACCGATACAAAAGTGCTTAGCAAATGCCTCACCCTGGAAGGCCACTGCTTCAATAAAAACTAGCTGTAACCGGGTAAAAAGCTTATAGCAGCAGGAGGAAAAAATGAAGGGAAGCCAGAGCTTTGAAGCTCCTTTGGAGGTTTTTTCTTCCCTGTCCAGTAAAGAATATCATTCCCAACCACAGGCAGGTTAAGTCAAATCTCATCCTTACTGCAAGACATGGTTTGCAGATGAGCTGGTGTAGATACAGGAGCTTGCGCTGACTGTCTCACCAGCTCTCACTTTTTAGACGGCCTGTGTAAAGAGGCAACCACAGGTTCTGCATCTCCTTTTATGCAAAAAACCTCTTTATTTTGAACTCTTCAGCAAGACTTTTTCTACAACCTTTGTGGGCAAAGAAGTGCTCTTGCACTCCCTAAATTAGCAAGAGTGGCTGGCCTTCTGGATGCTGTTGCTGATCATTTCCTTATAAGCAGTGACTCTGCAGCTGGCATCAAAATCATTCATTTTTCAGAGCAGCAGCCAAATTTTGGCAAGACGCTCTAGGTGCTACTCTGTTGGAATGGTCTCTGCTTGAATGCTCGACCCAGTATGGGAGAACTGATGCAGTGCAGCCATTTCCAGACTACTAGCGTGGTGGCAGTTCACCTCCTTGCTTTTTTAAATCCCTTTTGTTAGCACTGTTTCCCGCCTTGGTGTGTAATTTGCTGAAAGCACGCATTGCTGTCATTGATTGTGCTGTTCTCTGCAGTCAGTCTGCTCAGTGGCTGTCTTGGAGCTGTGTGGCACAGCAGTTCCATGCTTTGGACTCCTCTCCTGGACTTGCTGACTGCAGGATTTGAGGGGGTAGATAGGGCTGGGGAGAGGGAAGAGGATGTGCAATGTGTATTCTGCTTGCTACTCCTGGCACACAAAGGCAGAGTAGTCTTGCAGAATTCCTTGGCCAGGGCTTTTTATCGTGATCTGCCTGTAGATGTCATTGTAACAGCTTGGGTGTTGTTGCAGAGCCTCGGGTGAATCAGCCTCCTGTTGCAGTCGTGTCCCCACAGTTCCAGGAGATTTCACTGCCAACCATTTCAACAGTTATCGATGGCAGCCGTGAGTACCCGCTGTTTTAGATGCAGTAGTCTAGCAAGCCTGGTTTCTGTGTGTTGGGTTCTGGACTGGCCCTTTGGATAACATTTAAGAGGAACTGGCTGTGACACTATCAAAAGACTTTAGTGAAGAGAATCAGCCCCTCTGGCCAGGAGAGGGGAATACGCACACAACAGCACCTCTCCATGTTTCCCTTTTGAAGGGCGCTGGCCTGAGCCAATCTCCTAAAAAAGGAAAAGCTCTAGAGGTTGCTGCTTAGAATAAAAAAAAAATTTACTGTCAGTCAAAATTACTGGTCTCTCATGTTAAGCTTCAAATGTATTAGGTAGCTAGCACACCACCTTTACGGATCCTGCCCCACACTAGAGCTTTTCAGGAATTTCTTTCAATATGTTCAGGTTGTCTTACCCCAACTAGTATTATTTTGTTAGCATTTTGTTTGGGGTTTATTTGTCTTCCCCCAACATACATACAAACGTGGGATTAAGGGTGTTGGAGTATACCTGTGAAGCAGGGTAGAGGAGAGCATACGGTTTGGGTATCTGAGTGTAGTAGGGACCCCTGGGCTTGGACCAAAAATGCCTTTACGCGCTAAGCCCAACACTGAAGTGGGGGACTGAACATGCGAAGCAGCATTTTTTAACTCCTTGTATGTGGATTTTCTTCCATAATTGAAACAGAAAGCACTGATGATGATAAAATCGTCAGCTATCACTGGGAAGAACTGAAAGGTCCTTTGCGGGAGGAAAAAGTTTCTAGCAATACCGACATATTGACGCTGACCAACCTGGTGCCCGGGAATTACACGTTCAGGTAGGTTATACCTGGAAGAGTTCATCAGTTTTCATCCCTTAAGAGTAAAATGTAGAAGATTCTTGAAGTGTTAGTCTGGTTGAAAAAAATACCCAAACCCATCAGCAGGGAGAGAACTCCATGTTGTGCACTCTCCACTCATAGAATCATAGAATCGTTTGGGTTGGAAGAAGCCCTTTAAGGTCACCCAGCCCAACCGTTCCCCTACCCCTGCCATCCCACCACTAAAGCCTGTCCCTAAGCACCGCCTCTGCCCGGCTTTTAAATCCCCCCAGGGATGGGGATTCGATCACTTCCCCAGGCAGCCCCTTCCAGTGCTTGACAACCCTTTCTGTGAAGAAATTTTTCCTAATGTTCAACCTAAACCTGCCCTGGCACAACTTCAGACCATTTCCCTCACTCCTACACTTTCAGGTACTTTTCATGGCTTTTCCCTTCAGAAGAGATAAGCTATCCAGCTACTTCTTATTCTTAAGTTGTAGCATTGGTTTAAGATGACGGCAGAAGGGAACGTATGGTCTGCCAGCACTACAAAATGTCTCTTGAAATGTCAAATCTAAACTGTTTGGGTAAAGGCTTAGGAATAAAAGTAGTCTTTAAATCCAGTTTTTAAATGCAATGTGTTTGTCCCAGATAAGTGAATGAGGCCTAATGGTTTTCTGCATTTACCTCAGTAATACGTCATAGCTGATTTTACTTTCATGTTTGTTCTGTTTTTCCTTTGGTCTGCATTCTAGTGTGATGTTCATGCACTGCATCAGCAGATCTATTTAAAATAAAATAAACTGGAGTACCTAAACCACTGTTTTCCCCTTAAGCAGTTGGTATATGAACTAATCAGATCAATGTTCGGATCTAGATGTAGCAAAAAGCAGTTCTGTTGTGTGGTACTAGCCTGCCTGAGGAGGCGTGCTGTGTTCAGGCCACTTGTGGGTTAGTAATGAACTTCTGCATCCACGTTGATGAACATCTTCCATTGGGAGCCAGTGTCGTACTCAGGGAGGTCTTTTCCATCCCAAGTGCGTATGTGAAAGCTGGTGATCTTTCACTACCACCATTTTATCTTGGAACTAGTTGGTAGATTTCAAGTGAGGTGGATGTGGCCGTTGAATTCCTTGCATCGCTTTGAGGTTGATAGTTGGGCGTGTGGGGGAAGTTTCTATTCAGAAAAAGCACAGTTGCCTCAAACCATAGGGTTTTCTCACTCCTGAAAAGATTACTATCCTGTCCTTGAAAATGTCTTAAGTTTCTAACTCTTCTTTTGCGTTTCAGTTCACTCCAGCCACTGTTTTGTATTCAGCTCTGATAATCATGACTCTTCCCTGCTTTCACGTTTTTGTTCAGTCTAACAGTAGTGGACTCAGATGGTGCCAGCAACTCCACCACTGCAAACTTGACTGTGAACAAAGCAGTGGATTATCCTCCGGTGGCAAATGCAGGCCCAAACCAAGTGATCACCCTGCCTCAGAACTCCATCACCCTCTACGGGAATCAGAGCACCGATGACCACAGCATTGTCAGCTACGAGTGGCTGCTCAGCCCTAACAGCAAAGGGAAGGTGATGGAGATGCAGGTCAGTGCAGGTCCTCATCCTGGATTACTCACTAGCTGGCTTTTTTTCTATAATCAAACCATTTTTAATTGGTTGTTAGCAAATGTTTCTTGTAATCCTACAGAGCAAGCACGTGATGATTAGATACATACTTTAAACTAAATCCACATGAAGCTGGTGTTGGCTTAGTGGCTGAGCTGGTGCACCAGTCTAGCCGCAGATTTTCACTGGCATCCTGCTTCCTTTCTTGAGCAGTGCGGTTTTAAATGCTGCTCAAGATTGGAGGATTGAGAGAGATGGGAACTTGATGGCTTTGGATTCTGATGTCCCAGCACAACCTGGTCACCCGTGTATCTCGCTTTAACCTATGTGGCTGCTAGGGAAGCGTGTTCTTTCACTGCTCAGTTGCTGACTTCTCAGAACGACAGTAATAGCTAAATCACTGATGGTATAATGGTAAATGCTTAAGGGCTACCCGCAGATGTGGAAGCCAGACTGTGTGATCTTTTAGGTAACTGTCAGTCAGGATGGCATTTAGATGCGCAGGATAACCTGTTGTGCCAGGTCATGCATTTCCTAAGCTGGGCAAACACAGTGGGCTGAACCTTTGGAGTTGAACCTTGGAGTCTAAACCATGCTGACACTGGCTAGACACTCCTCAGTCCTAAACAGTAAAAGCTGGAACTTGTTCCCTTGCTATTGTTTTTCTTTTAAAGATTGTTACTACTGTCAAATTTGTGGAATAAGAAAGTCCATGAATCAGGTTCATGACGTGTGTAATTTGCACAGGGCTCCCCAGAGGTTTTGCTTGAATTGCTACTGAATCTCAAAAGCTCTGGACACCTCTATGGCATTACTCTTGTTACGTTCCACAACAGTGTCCTTGTTGCTCTGCATAAATCTGGTTGTAGGTGCCTTGCATGCTTAAGTGGCACAGACTTCTGTCCCCATAGCAGGAGTTAATAATAAGCCCCTAGAACCTGCCGATAATAGTTGTTTTAGAAGCAGAGTCTTCTGGACTATCATCATCTGTTCTTCTTAAAGTATATGTTATGAATATGTTTTCTCAAAGGGGGTGAGGACACCAGTCTTACAGCTCTCTGCAATGCAAGAAGGTGATTACACTTACCAGCTAATAGTGACGGATTCTGCTGGGCACCAGTCCACTGCAGAGGTCACTGTGATAGTCCAGCCAGGTAAGCTGCCCTTAGCTGCTTTTGCCACTTCCATTCCAGGGGTTAGAGGCGAGCTTCAATCTGTCAACATACCCTAGATCTTACAGTAGCTTTGTGTTGCTTTCAGAAAAGCTGCTCCAATTTAGGACCATTCTGGGCTGGTGTATTGCTTCTAAAACAGCAAAAGAAAGTTTCTAGGAATATTGCCTTTCTGGGCTGTTCTCTTACTTTACACAGTGTAGTCTAACTGACATTAGCCCACCATAATGGCAGGATTGTATTTCCAAGCAGCTGTCTCTGCCCACAGTGCCTGGTCCTGGGACAGGAGCAGGAAAAGTAGAGTAGAGAGCAAAAAATCAGAACTCCTAGATTTCATTCTCATTTTATTGCAGATGTGTGAATGAAACACTGATCTGAACTCTTAACTGCTTTTAACCTCACTTTGTCCGAGTACAAGGTTGAGATAATGAGCAAGAAATATACCAGGGATCGTGGAGAAACTTCTTAATGCTGGGGTTTTATGCTCCACCTTCTATGGCATGTGTATGAAAACTGTTGCAATCCTTTTTCAGAGAACAATAAGCCCCCAAAGGCGGATGCTGGTCCAGATAAAGAATTAACTCTTCCTGTGGACAGCACCACTCTAGATGGCAGCAAGAGCTCAGATGACCAGAAGATAGTCTCCTTTCTTTGGGAAAAAACACGGTGTGTATCATCTTCCAGACTGTCCTTATGCAAGTATCTAGGTCTCTCATTTAAAACCAGACACACCCCCGCTGCCTCCCTTGTGTTAAATCCTGGTCACATTGGGCCTGACAAGCTTTACCGGTGACTAGAATGAGGCAAGGATTTACGTGTCATTGGAGAGAGGTGGAGTTTTGTTTGAGCATTAGGAATACCTTTGCCTTCGTCTCTAGGCCTGATTCCCATTCTCAGCGTGGCTGTGGCACGTAAAGGAGACCGGCCACGTTCAAATCACAGCAGCGTAATGCCGTCTTGGCTGTATGAGGAGACTGACTCTCGTAATCAAGTAACAGCAGGGCCTTCTGACTTGATCTTTTTGCAGTATGTTTGAATGAGGCAGTGCTGCTCTTGTTGTCATGATTCCCTTTGGATTCTGAATTCCCTGAAGTGCTTAGGGAATGCAGGAAAAAGCCAATGCGCGACTTGCAGTAGCTTTTGCTGTTTGCTAATGCAAAGCCTGTGTGAAGCTCTTATAAATGAAGGAACTATTTTTGCTCGATACCTTTTCTTAAAAAATGGGCTTATTGTGCCATTCACATGAGCCAATTTTGCTGAAAGTACCGCTTTTTGTAAACCCTACTTAAATGCTGGTATCAGTGCTCCCCTTGTTTAAAAATAACCAAACCGCTAAACCACCAGAAATTGTTTTTTGTTCTGACTGCTGCACTTACTCTTTTGATTATCTTAGTGTAACTGGAGAAAATAATTTTGCTTCTTGTTGTGGACTCTGTATTTTCAGGCAGCTGTCTGTTTGCATCCCCATAAGCCCTGCCGGAGCTTGAGCCTCCTGTTTGGTGTGAGCCTAGTTCCCGTGGTCTATGCAAAGTTTAAACTGATCCTCTTGTGCTTTGGTTAGGGGCCCAGATGGTGTGAAGCTGGAGAATGCCAACAGCAGCATTGCCACTGTAACAGGCCTTCAAGTTGGGACATACGAGTTTACTCTGACAGTTAAAGATGAGAGGAACTTGCAGAGCCAAAGCTCAGTCAACGTCATTGTCAAAGAAGGTACGTCCAGCCGTGAGCAGAGCCACCTGAGACAGTTCAGCAAAACTTGTGTTTCAGAAGCACAATAATAGTAAGAAATGGGTGAAAAATAATGTGGAGAGCACTGAAATGGCCTTTTCTAAGTCAGGGGTTTACCCTTTTCTGGGGGAACAGTATCTTCAGCTGAATCCCGCAGTACGTGTTTTCCCTTTGCTTCCCCCCGGGTTAGATAGGAATTTCTGGGTTACGGTGGAGGTCTAATGCAGTAGTTTTTGATTGGGCATTATCAGATTTTTCTCCCGACTGCTTGCTTTCTGTTTGCTTAGAGATAAACAAGCCGCCAGTTGCAAAGATTGCTGGTAATGTTGTCATCACCTTGCCCACAAATACAGCTGAGTTGGATGGATCGAAGTCCTCTGATGATAAGGGAATCGTCAGCTACTTGTGGACCCGGGACGAGGGGAGCCCTGCAGCTGGGGTGAGGTTTCTTTTTTAAATGGCAGTCTGCAGCATCGCAGAAGTCAGTGAGAGGTAGTGTTGACAGCCCCTGAGGAAAATGTAAAGCGAATTGTTGCGTCTGTTCCTTTTAGCGATATCTTTAAGTGCAATGGTGCATCGTTCTAGTTTGATCCTTTGTTTCCTGATACTTATTTTGCTCTGCCTTCCAGGAAGTCTTAAATAATTCAGACCATCATCCTGTCCTTCTCCTTTCCAATCTGGTAGAAGGGACCTACACGTTCCATCTCAGAGTAACAGATGCCAAAGGAGAGAGTGATGTGGAAAGGACCACTGTGGAAGTCAAACCTGGTCAGTGCGGGTTTTGTGCTGTACTGCATTTGCCTGTGGTGCACTAGCGAGCCCTCTGTTTGTCTGGATACAGAGTACCGAGATTAAAACATGTAATCTAGTCCAGCTCAGAACTGTAAAAGGTCAAAAATTTGGGAGGGATGTGATTGTATTTTCATGTGGGTCTTGGGAGCTGACTCCTACTGCTTGCCATTGCCTGTGGAAGTCGTAGACTTGGATCCCTTCCTACACTGAGAATCTGTACTTTTGTGTTCAAAGCAGAAACGTTCTGCGGCCAAGGGGGGGCGGTTTAGTGGCAGGGCTGGAGGGGGTGCGGAGGGGTGTCTAGGTACTAGAAACCTGAGTTGTACCCAGACTGTTAAATAGAAGTTCTAAAGTTCTGTATTATCTGCACTCTCACTAGATCCTCGGAAAAATAATCTTGTGGAGATAATTCTGGATGTCAATGTCAGCCAGCTGACTGAGAGGCAGAAGGGCATGTTCATCCGGCAAATCGGCGTTCTGCTTGGGGTCCTCGACTCGGACATTACTGTCCAGAAGATCCAGCCGTACACCGAGCAAAGGTAGGGTTCGTCTGTGAGTGTACGTGGAGGGGGATTGCTTGAGGGTTTAGTAAACCAAGGGCTGTTTTCTCTTGGGAAGCAGACTGGACAATCGGAACGTGCAGAGATGTTGCTTAAAATTGATATCCCTGCTTGCTTGGGTCAGAGAAGGTGTGTTTCCAGGCAGGTCTCGGGTGTCTTTCCCCTCTGGAGATGCTGCGTTGTCCTCAAAAGCTGTTTGCTGCTGCTAATGTCTTTGCCCCCCAGATCTGCACTAATAAATAAATAAGCACTAACCTGATTTGGTTTTGAAAATTGTGAAGATTATCTGAAAGGTGTTCTACAGCTGGGGCTTATAACTGGATGAACAACGAGGCTTGGTACAGGAGTAGTTTGGTGAAACTCTGACACCACACCAGAGGTGGTGGTGTAGCAGTCGCCCTGCGTGACAACTTTGTGCAGGCAGTAAAGCTAACATAAAACTACATCAGCTTCAATTTAATGTTAAATAAAATGTTGAAAACCGAGTGTAATTTTTTTATTTGAAGAGATAAGGCAAACTTGGTTTTGATTGCTATTTAGTTTACAATAAACTACAGCTGGTCTCTTCTAAACAAGTGGAAGTTTGCTTATAGGCAGGGCTGTAGGCCAGGGTTATGTTACCCGCCTGGACAACGTTGCTCAGCTCCAAGTAACGCAACCAGCAAGTCATAGAAGGGCTGGTTTGGCCCAGCTGGATCCTGGCCGTGCTGCCTGGGCATGGAAGTACCTGATCGAGTTGAGCTTTCCACCTCTGCACGAATTCTGGGAAATTCACTGTTCTGCAGAAAACTTCAGCGACTGGTGCTGTGAGCAATAGCTGCACGCATGTTCACGCTAACAGCAGTCCGTCGTTACCGTAGGTGTGTGTGAGGATGCCTGAATGTGCATGTGAGTGGCATGGCAACAAGCTTATCAAGGGCAGAGCAGTAATCCGTTGAAATAAGTGCAATATTGCACTTAGTTTTTACTGAAAATGGAGTAGTTTTAAGGTAGATAAAGCACTGGAAAAGATTTAAGGGACATGCTTAAAGTCATGCAGCAAGTCAGCGATAAATCTGCAGTTAGAATTTAGACTTTCCTGAGTTCAGTCATGTATCGATTCCTTCGTGTCCCCGTTGCCTGCTGTAGCACTAAAATGAGAATTCATTGTCCATGCAGACCTAGAGCTCAGAACAGAAGAGCCAGCACCTTCTGTGGTAATATTACCTTTCTATCTCTGCCATCACCAGGCCAGTTGCCACTGTTCTTCACCAAGTAAGGGATTCTTGTAATTAATGCTTCATCTGTTTGTATGTTTATTAAGTAGAAGAAAGAGCGGGAAGTGTTATAAAAGAGCAGAGATTATTTTCTGACAGATGGCTTTAAGATCCCATTCTTGCCTCAACCATCTAAGTAACTCATACCTAATATCCTGTTGACTCATAGGCTCACTGGTAATAATAAATCTGAAACATCCATGCATCCTTTTGTGAATCTGAAGGGTACACGGGGCTCTGCAAGGCTGGCAAGCCTCGGGGAGCAAGTTCTTCGATCATAAAGCAAATGCAATAAAAGGTGCAGAACACGGTATCTTCTACACCCGGGCTTTTTTCTGGCTATAGCACTGCGCATTCAAACTAAGCTTTGCAAAAGGTTGTAAACCTTCACTGTCTTCTCTCTTGTTGCAGCTCTGTGCCAGGCAGTTAAATGAGCCCCCACACGTGTTCCACATGTGGTGAGGTCTAAGGATCCCACAGTGAGGGAGGAGGTTATAAAAATGGCAGGACCTTAATGTTTGGGGATTTGCATGCTTGTTGTAAACATGCAAAGGTGTGCTTGATGATGACTGAAACTAGACTTGACAAAACCATTAGCAAAGTCAAGAACAGTTCAGCCCTAGCTTTGAAAACATGGATGGATCAGATGTCCCAAAGGGCTTGCCGCTGTATGACCAGGTCTAACCTTACTGCTTCCACGATGGAGACAGAAGTCTGGTCCTCAGATAAATTTGGGATTCTGAATGAGTCCCTCTGGTGACAGACTGGGGAGAAAGGCACTCTGCCTGGTCTTTGGAGAAGCAGCAGATAATAATTTTTTGTCTGATTTTCAGCACGAAGATGGTGTTTTTTGTGCAGAACCAGCCACCCCATCAGATATTCAAAGGACGAGAGGTAGCCTGGACGCTGAAGAACGAACTGCGGAAACAACAGTCAGACTTCCTCATCTTCCGGGCATTAGAAATTAACACAGTCAGTAAGTAAGAGTCGCTGTGTTACATTGGTAGTGAAGTGGGACTTTTTAGTTTGGCACAAGGCCTAGGTGCTTACATTTGTGCTTATTGCTTGTGATTAGGGCTAAGATAAGAGGAGGAACTATAGAGCGACAAGGTTCAAGTTATAGAGCCTACGGGGGTTGGTCATATTGAACGATGCTGCCCCATTTTTGCCTCATGTGCAAGTCATTAGTTCACCTTGCTGGTTTTGGTCCCTAGCGTGTCAGCTGAACTGCTCTGAGCACGGACGCTGTGACTCCTTCACCAAGCGTTGTGTCTGTGACCCCTTCTGGATGGAGAACTTCATCAGGGTGCAGATGGGGGACGGTGAAAGCAACTGTGGTACGTGCAGCCTCCTTGGGATTGTTCACTTCTGGAAAGCAAACAGTGTTTGAAACCCAGGGTGGGCAGAGCGACAGGTACCTGCTTTCTCCCAGTATCTCTGACGTGATGCTCACACAAGGAGGTAGTCCCTGCCCTAGTCTCGCTCCACGTACCTCCTCAGCAGGCGACGTTTGCTAGGGAAGCGACTCCTCTTCAGGCCCTCTCAGTGAACACTCAATAAGAGTTGAGTCCATTCAAGAAGCGTGTAAATGACATCTTCTCTGTTGTGCCCCTACAGAGGCTTTCCTGCTACAGGAAAGCAAATTTTATAAATGAACACACATTGAAAAATGCCCTTGTGCAGTGAGCCCGTACACTGGATCTCAAGCCTCTGGCTTCTGTAGGTGAATTAGTGATGCTGTCAGTGATGGATGCTAAGCCTCTAATTCTGCAAAGGGTCAGGCCTTTCTTTTTCTCTCTCAAGAATAGTCATCTAAAGCACACACTGTCAACTGTATGAGGTGCCAAAACGTCTTTATCTCTGGGGTGTTTTGCTTTCAGAGTGGAGTGTGCTGTATGTGATCATTGCATCTTTCGTCATTGTGGTTGCCTTTGGAATCTTATCCTGGATGGTGATCTGCTGTTGCAAGAGGTGGGACTGAGGCCACAACCCCCACTGTATCAGTGCTTCAGAGCCAAGTAGCTGCATTAGGAGGTGAAAGATTCGAACCCATCATCCCAGCAGGTCATCTGCTTAGCCCTGGGATATTAGGTTTTGTCACTCAGTGTTTCAAGTGAAACATTGAAATCCTAGAACTCTGGGTTCAGTTAAGAAGCGAGATTTGGATTTGCCTATAAATGTGCAACTAAAGCAATGTTTTTAATGTTTTGCTTTCTGATATGAACGTTACCTGAAATAAGCACGTACTCTAGCTTTGAAGATCAGAGTTGTTTTTTCTTCCAGCATTTTTAAAAATGGCCTGCCCCTTAATTCCTTTTCTTCCCCTCTAGACGAAAAGGAAAATCCAAAAGAAAAAGCAAATACAAGATTTTGGACGCAACAGATCAAGAAAGCCTGGAGTTAAAACCAAATCCCAAAGCAGGTAAAAGATGAGAGGGAAGAGCTCAGTGTTTCCAGAATGCTGACGTAAGTTAAACACTCTTCCTCAGTGGACTGAAAATCACAGCGCGAAACAAACGTGATGTTAGGCACTGACAGACGAGTCTCAGAAGATCTAAGAGCTTGTTTGTCTGTATAACAGGGTATTTAGTCAAGTTATCTAACTCTTTGGTGTAGAAATTGGGGGTGAAACTGGCCTGATCCTGATGTCTCCACTTCCTCTCACAGAAGTAGTAAGTGGACGCATGTAAGCTGTGCAGAGACCGGCCTGATCCAGGAAGCCCAAAACTGGGTCTTGACTGTAACTTCTCTTGCTCTAAAGTTTTCTACTGGGTTCTGGCAGTTTTCTTCTTGCCAATATGCAGTTCCTTGCTCTACAGCAAAGGATGATTTCCGTGTCACTCAGCGTTTCACTAAGCTGGTCGACTTTGGCTGGTAAGCCAAGGGGCACCTGAGAGCAACCTGAAAATACCCACAGCCTGGAGAGAGCGATGTTTATTTCTGCCCCTGTATTCTTACACCCCAAGTGACTTGTTCATAAATTTATTCATTCTTGTTCTTGTGAACATCAGGCTCTGAAAGCGTCTCATTTTAGCCGCTCCTCTTAATTTCTCCAGGAAGCAGATGCTTATCTTGGAGGGGGGGGGAGATCTGTGAAGTCCTCAGTGCTCTGTGTGGCTACAGGCCCGTTGGCCCATTCCAGAAAGGCAGCCATTTGTCGTCAGTCATCTTAGCCAGCATTTTCCTGTCTGCATTGCTGTCCTCCAGAGTGCTAGTCAGGTGCTTTGCAAAGATCACCGAGTTATTTCAGGCTGGAGCATTTTTGCTGCGATTGTACCTGATACTGTGGTCACCTGCTGACTGACCAGGAAAGCAGGGAGATGGGGGACGGTATGCGCAAAGCACGGCCCCGCCAAATGCTGGGGAGCACTTCAGCTGAAATACTCCTTTCAAATACGGGTGTGTGTCCTGGTTTTGTTTAGAGGAGGGGTTATTTTAATTGTGTGGAAAATAGTCCCTGATCCTTGTTTGCTAGTGGAAAATAATTGCTCATCCTAGCATTACCCCATTTAGTGGCGTTCTAGCAAAGTGGGCAGTGCCTACCAGCAGCGTTGGAGGGCATTGCAGCCACAGAGCGCATCGGACAATTCCGCTGAGAACCGGGCCACCCCAACTGCACAAATAAGGATACCCTTGAAGAAAAACCGTGTGTGTTTTCCTCCCTCGGCACCCAACTCCGCTTTAATCTGGCCATCTGTCACCCGGCACAGAAGAGCCCCCCCATTAAATAAAGGGCTCATTGTTCTGCAGTCTCTAGCAAATGTGCCTCAACCGTTTGCTCTCTGGTAACTAAACTCATCTTGCTTCTTCCAAGGCTGGCTGCTGACTAAAGTCTTTTTCCTTGGTAGATATGTCCAGGGAGCGTTCTGCTAACAGAGGAAATGTTGTATTTCTCCATTAAAGAAAAGCTAAATTTAAATATTTCCTCTGCTGACAATATCAGTAAATGTGTCTCTCCTGTCCTTGTGCATTAATCTAAATTCAGCCCGCTAATTTATCTCTCTTCCCTTGCAGGCAAGAGAAGCCGAGATGAGAGTAGGGAGGGTAGTAAGAAGGCAGTGATCTTCCCTCGCACACCTGCATATATTCTCTTTACTCCAGCCGTTAGCCCTCAGAGAGCTTTCTAGGCAATGCCCCGAGCAAGGTCAGGAAGACAGAGCTCCCACCTATACTCACACCCCCCTCTGTTAACGTAATTTGCTTTCCTACCTGTTCGTTGTGCTTTGCACTATGTCGAAGTGTCTTTGTGACCTCTGGCATGCCAAAGTATCTGAAACAGGATTGCTTTGGCTTCAGGATTTGAGGGAATAAGTGACAGATGCAGGAAAGTCCAGTTAGGCTGCCCCTTCGACGTGACAGGAAAAGGAGACTTAAAGGGGGAATGGAGTAAGGTGAGGTGGTTGACCAGTATTAAAAGTATTTTTAACCTGAGAATCTCTCTCCTTCAAAGGTGGCAGGCAGAAAGCCCAGGTCCTCAACACTAGCCTGATGCATTCGGAGTCTGAACTGGACAGCGATGAAGCCATCTTCACGTGGCCTGACCGTGAAAAAGGGAAACTGCTCCGCAGCCAGAACGGCTCCTTGCGCAATGGACAAGTGATGCTCAAACCCAAGAACCAGAGGGAGGAAATCCTATAGCTCCCCTCGGGCCTTTTGCTGGAGCTCAGTGCAAAGGCCACTCCCGTCCCTATCCTACGAGGGCCTTTGGAGGCCAGTCTGATTAGGACAATGCTGCTAACTCGTTTCACAGAAAATAACTTTGTTTTTGTGGGTTTCTTTTCATTCAGTTAAAACTGGTTGTACTTGAATTTGAACTACAAGGGAAATCAAAGGGAGGAGAAGGCAACTGTGAACCCCAGGCGAAGTGTCAGAAAAGACAGAGCTGGCATCTGGAGAGCGGCAGGACAGAACCACTTGGAGCAACTGTGAACGTGCAGGACCCCTCCTGGCCCCACTCGGACTGCAGTGAAGGAAACGCCCAGGGACCTCCAGCTCACTTGCCTTGGGAGCTCCTCGGAGAAGGAAGGTCAAGGCTGTGCTTTGAGCCGTGCTCTGAGCTCCCTTCAGGCTCCAGTAGCCTACACCACAGGCTACTTACGCTGTCGAACAGCTTGCTTCTCTTTTATCCCACCTTCCCTAATGGTTTAAGCACTATTTTAATTTAGGCTTGTCCTTTCACATGCACTTGGCTGCTTTTGGAGCGTAGAGAGGGGGAATCTAAACACTATGGTCACACTCCATCAGCTTGCAGGGAGGAGAGGGTTCTGTAGCTGTTCTAAATTACTGTCTGGCTCTTCTCACGGGGAGTGTTGATGAACACGGTGCCTGTTCAGATGTGAATGGCTGACCTGTCTGTGGTAATCGGCTGGGCTAGGAGACCCCCTCCTGCAGCAAGCTCTCCTGCTGGGTACCAGAGCCGGGAGGGGACGCCCGCCTTTGGTACCTGTGTCTAATGTCTGGCTTAATTCCAAAGCTGTGAGATGATGTTCAGTGGCCCCAGCACCTTCTGTTGGTCGCCAAGCCATCTGTGAGTCTGGACATTAACCATATCTCAGTTATGAAATGCCAACTGTGGGTTGTTTGGTTTGGGTTTGGCTTCCCCCCCCTCCCC